GCTCAGAGAGCACCAAGAACTCCACAGTTCAGCCCTGAGCTACAAATATTCTCTTCTATTGGGACACAGCTGCTTTTCATTGCCAAAATGCTAGTTGAGTTTTGCTTTGATAAAGCACAGAACACCCAAATTACTTCCAAGTTTTGTTTGATGGCACTTTCAAGATGCAGTGTTTGGTTTCAAACTTGAAACAAAGCACATTTTCTTTTTCTTTCATGCCAGAACTAAAGGAAGATGAGGAACTAAGTCTAAGGATGAATTGAAATTTCAAGATTCTTACACTGAGTGGAGGGTGAGTTTGAATTTGATGGAATCCAAAGCTTCTGCCCTACTCTCATTTTGCCTGAAACAAAATAAAAGGAATAGTTTTCCCATTAGTCATTAGAACTTAATTGGATTATGTACCACCTTCTGGAATATTTCAGACAGATTAACAGTTTTAAATTGCTTTTTCACTGCATGCGATTTTCTGTTCCAGACTGTAAGCATTAGAAAGCCAGGGAGCTTCTGTAATGCTGAACATCTTTGTACTTTGAAGTTTAGAATTCAGGATAATTTTTGCTCATGTATTGTCATTTTATGGATTCTATCATTCATTTATTTACAATTTACATTTAAAAGGCTGCCAGCTCACTACAACCCTGGACAATGTACAAATTAAAAACAAAACCCAGTAGATTAAATCAATTACAAAATAAAAGATGGCGAAAGCTGGGGGGAGGGGCAGGCAGAAACAAGCACACTATAAACGTGCTGAACATTATTGAGTTCAGGTAGATCCACAGCCCAAAGTAGTGTAGAACCTGGGGAAAATAACTACACCAAGGAATGTTGGTGGAATCGGTTCTGTTCTTTTTTCCTTATTGTTTATTGCTTTTATTTCCCACCTTCCCATATATACTAAAAAAACAAAACAGGAACTGCAGGCTATTTCCTCTTGCTTATTCATTGCACAGTTGGACAACTGTACCAATCTACAGCATGACTGCCTGCATTACAAGACCTTCACTTTCTTATTATGCATAATTCTACAACTGAAATATTAAATACCTGCATACTATCTAAAAGTGGAGATAATCATGCTCCCTCTATGCTGTTTAAACAATACACAGTTATCCCCCTGTCTCACGCAGAGAAAATAGATGTTAAATACTAAAATACTGGAATGGAGTGGATTACTTAAGATAAGTAATTGCCCATAAATATTGCAAACAAAAAGTGAATGAAATAGAGGAAAGATGTTATAGGAAGTACAAGTCTAAATAATAAACAACCCTTTCATGCCAACACAGTGCATTCTGAAGCCTGTTTACCAAAATGTAAACCCTGCTATTTCAATGATTATGCAATGCCCCCAAGTTCACAAGATGAAGTAACAAAACTACATCAATCTAGATCCTGGATCCCCAATATTGTACAAAAGGACAACTATGTACTCAATAACATACGTTCCATGTGCTTGCTTTGACTTTTTTAAAAAAAACATGCTTTTAATTTTAAAAGTGACTGGGCCTTAACTGCAAATGCAAATTGCCTTTCCAATAATGATTCCAGGCTTCAAATAACTGCGGTGGGCCTTTTCTGCTGTGGCGCCTGCACTGTGGAATCCACTCCCCCCTGCGGTTGCCATTGTTGAGTTTCTGGAGGTTTCTTAAGACTTGGTTATGCCAGCAGGCCTGGGGACCCCAGGGGATGGGGAAATTAGTGAGGTGTCACCCTTATTTTTAACATCCTTTTATTCTCTGTTG